GTTCTGTACCTCACAGACCTAGCATTCGAGAAGGATCCATCTTCTCATTTAATACGTAGTGTGTTTTTAGTTTGACTAAAAAGATTATAACATCGTTTCCCTTTCGGTAGGATAGTTACTCAACTCATAGAGTTTCATACAGTTCAAACTTCTAAGTCTTAGACACACTCACAATTTGATTTCAGATAGACATGGAGAAATTATAAAACAGAAAGAACAGGTAGATATTACGAATCTTAACTCATTCAGCGAAGACGAAGAGAACACAGTGGTCCCAGCTCATGAAGGTATGTTCTTGTGCTGCATTTGACCACTAAAGCAGCGTTCAGACTTTGCGATGACTCGCGTCGACGCGCTGTAATGCGCTGCAATCGCAACAGACATCCAGTCGTATAGGAGACGCAGTCGCCAGCGGGAATCGATCGGCGCCGGCCACTTGTATTTTGGGAGAGTGTAGCATAACAGGGCGTTAGGCGTTGCTCTCACACTACGTTGCTCTCACACTGTTTGGTACTCTCCCGTTTTTCATACTCTCCCATAGCCCTATAGCCAGTGCGGATCACTACCAGACTGTGCGATTAGGTAACACGTTCCCTTCCACATACCGTCTCATTGTCAAAGCGGCCGGCGCCGATCGACTCCCGTCTTAGCGCGTCGTCGCACATTACAGCGTGTCGTCGCCCATCATCGCGAGGTCTAAACGTTGCATAGGTTAGCTTTGGAAACTGAAGCCCTTTCTTGTGAAGAAGAGGTTTTACCCAAGAAACGTTCACAGAGATTAATGCAGTAATTATCGCAGTGAGCTAATGTTTTGTATTTCCAGGTGTAACGTCGAAATGTGAAGGACGTCTGGAATTCCAAACGTTGCCTGTCGGAAGTCTCCCTCCATTAAATGTCACCAACGATGTTCCTGCACGAACTCCTGCAGACTGCGCCAAGAAATGCTTTGAATCCGTAAGTTTTAGAAAACTTTTAACAAGCCAGTCTTGGGTTATATCATACCTACCATACTATGTTACTATTACAATATCAATTATTTTATCGATATTCCACAAAAGGGGCGATCCCCAGGAAACGGGTCCAGGAAGAATCATTCTACTAGGTTTCACTAATAAACTAACAATGTGTGAAGAGAAGGCAATCAATTAGAAACCGAAAAAAGGTTAAGCACTTGGACAAACAATGCAGAATTCTCTAAGAAAACATGGCGGTAACTTTTTAACAGTCGTCAATAAGGCAGTTCAGCTAGTTGTGTAGAACTAATGGGCTTTAAGCGAATGGCTACGCACTTAGTTGGTGCCTGGGCTGCGGGGGAAGGGAGGGGCAGCTCACAAGAGATTAGTATGTGAAAGAATTCCAAACAATTGCATACATATATCTCATCCCAAGATATGTAGGTGGCTTTTTTGCTCACTACTGTATCACGAGCAGACCACGCCGTACGTTGGGGAGTCCCCGGCGGGAGAGGAGGGGGGTCGTATTTGGTCCCTTGGGGAGGGGAGGTCAGTCATTTATGCCTTTTAAAGAAAAATGTGGCGTTTTGAGAAATTACCCGCTCCTTCTAGTTGGTCGCGCCTCCAAAGTTCTATACAACTTGCTGACGACCTCCCTCCCCCCGTTAAACAGCAAAGTTTTAGGACTAGGAAATTTTTGGGAAATACCGGACAAACTGGTAGAAGGTTGGGAAAATTTGGGAAAATGGTAGGTAAGATGGGAGAAGGGTTATGTTTTCCGAGAATTTTTCCCAGCTGCAGGACATGCCCTGGCCATAAACCTCCTGGCCCGCCTGGCAGTAAAATCAGAACGTTTCAGAAGCAGATATAAGGCATATATTGACTTAGATCATAGTCATATATGACTTAGGATCCCCGTCGGGGGGGGGGGGGGGAGGGGATCTCATTTGCCTCTGAGAAAAATGTTTTAGGTTGTAGAATCTTATCGACTTTTCAATGACGTTCATTTTTTTGTGTTTTTTTTTCTGGAACAATTATGGGTACTATACCTGAGTTTGCAGAGAGGATGTTCTCTTGCTGGTTTCATTGGTAGCCCATCCGGGAACATTTCACGAGGCGTTTGCCTCTTGACCTCTGATGGAAGTGTGTGTGTTCCCCGTTGGTATCTTGCCAATAACCGCTACGGGTGCATGTATTTGCTTATATACCCACGCAGCACCGAACACAGCAGCCGCTTCAAATCAACTCATTTGCCTCACATTTTAGTTCGCACATGAAGCGATACGAGTCTCGGGTACGGT